GGAGGGGGTTATACAACATAAACACAGTTATTACACAATAATGCGAGGAGGGGGTTATACAACATTCACTCCTCAAAACCGTCTTTGTGAGAACTTGCCTGGTGTGGTATGTGACGATCGGTGAGTGGCGATCTTAGAACCTTTAGACCCCTTTCCAGCACCTGCTGTAAGGAATTAAGTATATGGTTAATCATTTGCCGCATGGGCAGACGTCTTTCAGGCGTATTCTGCTGTAGGTCTTAACTATCTTTCAATAATTTTCATGTCTACCCATACTTTAATACTCAGATTTCACTGTGTATGAATTAGCTTACCTCGAATGCATTGTTGACGGTGGTAATGCAGCCTTGCTGAGGGAATGTGTTGGTTGCAACCTGAACACAGCAAGCAAAGGTGGTTGTTGGACAGCTTCTTTCCACAGAGCTGGCAGTGAAGCTTGATGTTAGCCATTGTGAGTGCTATCACAGGGGAAGGCAAGATGTACTAATGTTTAGTGGTCGAGTTTCCACCCTTTTTATATCGCGGGGAATGCCAACGGGTGACAGATGTGTGCATTTCTATTTGACGTTTTATAATGAATTCTATTAAATCATTTTGTGTTTATACAAGAGGAATATAAAAAAAATATGATAATTAGTATAGAGATGTTTATAATCTTTTTTCATTAAATTTAGATTCGTATATCTAAGATGCTTTGAGAGTGTTGAAACACAGCAAGGAAGGAAAAGTAATTATTTAATCGATATCTCCCAGACTCTGCAGTTGACCTGACATCTGTTCAGGATGCAGCTGACCTGTGTTTGAGCAGGCCTTCCTTTAATTATTAACGGCCGTCATTAGTGAAAGGGTGATCAATGAGACGCTTCTTAACTATCACTAGCTAGAGGGCTTTTAATGATGGAAAATAAAGACATATTGAGTACAACGAATTTTTATACTCCTTTCCGCTGAACTCTATACTTATAAACGAGGTGCTTTTCGATTGTGGGGAACAAACTGTGAATATCTGATTAATTAGTGTCTGTGCCTGACTTCTGAGGGGATAACTTTATTATTGAGATGTTTTAAGACAATGTAGGCCATCCCATATGTTCAAACATGACGAATAGATGCTGTTATTGATTTCGCTGACCTGACTCACATCGGTAATGGCTTAATTTTGCGCATGACCTGGAGGGCGGTGGGAATGAAGGGGTGGGGGACTTGGTGGTTGGGGGACACCTGTTTTGGTGTGCGTATTATTCCCCATTAGCTACGGTTATTGATTTCCCGTAATCAATTATGATAATTACTTCTTGGAAGTCATTAAGTCACTCCTGTTATACACGTCAGGTATGTGCATAGCGGATAAGAGGGTAGTCATAGGATGAGGCTGGTGAGTCCAAGGTGTTTTTGGGTGAGGGGGTTGGGGTGGTGGAACCTGTGACACCTGCTCTTAGGATGATAGTTTGACCTGCGGCAGCAGGATCCATGTTTGTTTGTTGTTCCTCTTCTTCCTCTTCTTCTTCTTCTTCTTCTTCTTCCTCTTTCTCGTATTCTCCTTATTATTATTATTATTGTTGTTTTGGAGAGGAAAGGGATGGGGGGGCACCCCTTCAGGTGTGCGTGTTCTCCATCATTAGTCACGGTTATTGATTTCCCGTATCGATTACGGTAATTACTTCCGGAAGTCATTAGGGCACTTCCTGTTATGACACGTTAGGTACATAGGGGGGGACCCATGGGGGTGAGGCTGCTGTGTCCAAGGTGTTTTTGGGTGAGGGGTTGGGGTGGTGGAACCTGTGACACCTGCTCTTAGGATGATAGTTTGACCTGCGGCAACAGGATCCATGTTTGTTTGTTGTTCTCTTTCTCTTCTTCTTCTTCTTCCTCTTCTTCTTCTTCCTCTTTCTCGTATTCTCATTATTATTATTGTTGTTTTGGAAAGGAAAGGGAGGGGGGGCACCCCTTCAGGTGTGTGTGTTCTCCATCATTAGTCAAGGTTACTGATTTCCCGTAATCGATTACAGTAATTACTTCCGGAAGTCATTAGGTCACTTCCTATTATGACACGTTAGGTACATAGGGGGGGACCCATGGGGGTGAGGCTATTCTGTCCCTATCATCACTACTCATATTGCTCTAATCTATCGAATAAAAAGAGTATGCAACAGCACCTGAAATACTGATATGTATCTTTAAAATGTCTGCACATCAGTATTTGTGAATATTTGAATTTGTTTATAAATCATAAACACTAATAATAATAACAATAACAATAATCATAATACTAATGATGATAGTAATACTAATGATGATGATAATGATAATAATGAAAATAGCAATGATACTAATTATCAAAATGATAATAACAATAGTGATAATGATATTGATAATGAAAGTAATAAGAGTAAAAATATGAAGAAGAAAGAATAAAAATGATAATGAAGATGATAATAAAATTATTATGATAACATTCATATAAAATGATAATGAAAAGGAAGAACATTAATAATTACGCTGATGATGACGATCATGAGAATACTAGAACAATGACAACAACAGCGATAATGATAATAATAGCAATAATAAAGATGATAATATTAATTGAAATAGCAGTAATAATGATAATGATAATGACAATAATTATGCAAAAGTGACGAGAAAGGAAAGAGAATTCATACACTCTAATTCATTAAGTCGCAAAAAAATCCAAGCGAACGAGACAGAGAAGCCACTTCATGCTGTTTCTGCCCACGCTTGATATCTATCTCTCGCTCGCAGGCTAAAGAACTGCTCGCTGATTTCAAGCTGACTGCTCTAAATATATCGTTCAGATTCACATCAGATAATTAGTTTTCACTTGTTGAATGAGTCCTTCATTTCGACGACCGCAATCTGTACGCATCTCTCACCTTCATGTTCTCAATAATATGGTACTCAGATCATAATAGTTAACGATACGGTCATCCCGAGCATTGTTGTTCATCTTTATGTATAAAACCTTAGTGTGTTATGAACATGTGAAGATTTAGGCTGTACAAATAAACACCTTGCAAATAGCAGCCTTTTTTCTACACGAGTACTGTTTAAAGCAATTGCAAATTTTAAAATGTACAATATGTACGTTTCTTTCGTAAATGTTTTCACTCTTGTTCATGATGAATATAATTCTTTATATAAATGGTCTTCATGAATATATAGGTTGTAATATATTCTATCATCAATAAGAACATTAAAAATGATAGGCCTACTAAGCGTTAAAGATCCCCTTGTAGTTGATTTACAAGCGACAATCGTTCGTTTCCTTTCATTCGCGTCTAATTCCCTTTGAGTGAAATTCAATGCAGTTACTGTAGTGTACGTAGATTAGACGATAGCATTTTTATTGATATGAAACATTTTGTTCATTAATATCATTGTTTTTTTTTTTCAGAAGAAAATGGTCTTTATGTGTCTACCTTTCTAAAAACTCTCCACCTTTCTCCCTCTCTATATAAATATATGCATATCTCATCTTCTCGTTTTCTTTATCTGTTTCTATATTTCTCTTTCTCTGCCTAACGCCTCTCTCTCTCCGCCCTTCTTTCTCTTTTTCTCCAGCTATCTCTCACCCTACATGTGTTTATGTGCCTTTCCCTCTTTGCTTACGATAAATATTATATGTTGTTGAAGAAGAAACTTATATGGACTAGATTTTATTGTTTCCTTTGGGAGTAGATGCTGTGTTCACTTATATTTCCAGTATCGTTGTGTCCTTTCCAGCAAATTCTGTTTTTGGGAGTGTTTCTCTTTTCATTTCCTCTCTTTCTCTGCATCTATTTTTCTTTCCACTCCCCCCCCCCTCTCTCTGTCTCCCTCTCTCAATCTTTTGCTGATGTTATAAGCATATTTACGATCTATTTTTGTGGGTTTCAATTCTTACTGTGTTACATATGTGGGGAGTCAACCTTCATTTGATATGTTTGTTAATCCTTTGATTACATCTTCACGACGCTTATCTGCCATTGCCTTATTTTGCCTTATAAGTATTGAAATCCTTTTAACGTTAAGGCCAAAATTAGCCAACGTCAGAGGATAAGAGCATGGGAGAGAGAGAAGGAGTGAGAGAGAAAGAATTATTGTTATCAATGATGAATATTTATTCTATATCACTGTTGATTTGATTACTTTTATTGCTAAAGTAACAACAGATATATAGTCTAAATCCAGTACAAAATTACTTATCATTATATTATCATCTGTGTTACTTTTGTCTTATTATCAGAATCATTATCATTATCAACTCCATATTTTGTGGCATTTCTTTGTCGCCATAACAGTCATTGTCATTATTAAAACACATGGTGGAAAATAACCTAATCCGAGAAAGCCTGCTTCCAGTATCATCATTATACAAAGTTACGGAAAGGAATAGACTAACAAAGGAAAATAAATGAATAAACAAAGAAACAAACAAACTTACAAGATGTATATAAACAATTCCTCACCTCCAAACAAATCCTTCTGTGCTTAATTATTTCTACTGCGGATTTTTAACCAAGTCTCCGTGGTGTAACGGTAACGCAGCCGCCTATAAAGCGGGAACACCGGGTTCGATTCCCGGCGGGGACAATACTCTTATTTAGTTATTTATTGTTATCATATGCTTTTACCCTTATTAGACGGTAATTTTGTTGACATTTTGATATTATTGTTATTTTTTAAATCATTATTATCGCTATTGTTATTAATATAATTATAACAGCAGAAAGAGAGAGGGAGATTACAGAACACAATTATATCTAAAATCTTTGCTATATCTTTTTATTATTTTTCATAATTGTTGTTATCATGATCAATCCTCTTATTATTATTACTATCATAGTTTACTATCAACATCATCCTTTCTAATTGGTAACACAATCATTAGCATTGTTATACTATTCTTATCATTGGTGGCATTTGTTCATTGTTCCTACTTTTATTATCATTTTTAGAATATGTCATTATTGCAGTTACCAATACCATTATTATTATAATTATTTTGTATATATTTACTATTACCATCATTATTATCGTTGTCAATATTATTACTACCATTATTATAAATGTTGTCTTTGTTATTGATAATGAAAATAATATCATTATCATAACTGTTAAGTAAAGATGGTAATTGTTATTGCTATTTAATTATTGTTATTTTTTGACTAATACAGTAATCACGAATTTGAATGTGTACAAGTATGTGCGTTTCTTTCGTAAATGATTTTACTCTTGCTCCTGATGAATATAATTGTTTATATATATGGATTTCATGAAAATATAGGTTGTAATGTATTTCATTGTCAATAAGAACATTAATAATGATAGGCCTACTTCGTGTTAAAGATCCCTGTCTAGTTGATTGACAAGCGACAATCGTTCGTTTTCTATCCTTCGCGTCTAATTCCCTTGCAGTTGCTGTAGTATCTTTTTGTTTGGTTTGGTTTTAAGGACGAAAAGTACGTAGAGTAAATGATAGCATTTCCACTGATGAGAAACATTTTCATCATTAACATCAGATTTTTTTTTTTTTTTTTTTTTAAGAATAGTCCTTATGTGTCTACCTCTCCCTCTCTACACCTTTCTCTCTCTATATAAAATATATGTATATCTTCTCTACTTCTCTCTCTTTTTCTCCATCTCTCTCTCTCTCTCTCTCTCTCTCTCTCTCTCTCTCTCTCTCTCTCTCTCTCTCTCTCTCTCTCTCTCTCTCTCTCTCTCTTTCTCTCTCTCTCTCTCACTGTCTCTCCATCTTTTGTTGATGGTAAATCTATTCGTGGGTTTTAATTCTTACTGTGTTACATTTGCAGGTAGTCTACCTTTAAGAAGATTGTTTCTTATCTAAATACGTGTTCACGATGCTTATCTTCCATTACCTTATGTCATCATGGAAGTTTTAATATCATTTCAAACTCAAGGTCAAAAATAGCCAAAGTCAACGGATAAAAGCATGAGAGAGAGAGAGAGATTAAATATTATCGTTATCAAATGATGTATGTATTTTCTATATCATTGTTATGATCACTTCTATTGTTAAAGTAACAATAGATATTTACGGCCGGTTTGCTAAAATTGTGCGAGGCCTTGCCCAAAGAATATTCGTATATTTGACATGCATAGATAAAGTTATAAATGCATATTTATCAGTCTGGATAATTTTACCGAACCGGCTCATAGTCTAAAACCATTGCATAATTTCTTATCATGATATTATTGTCGTTGTTACTTTTCTCTTATCAGAATCATTATTATTATCAAATTTGTGATTTCCTTTTCGGTATCAAAATTATTATCATTTCTATATTTCAATTAGTAGTTGCAGTATTAGTGGCATTTGTTTATCGCCATAACAGTCATTGTCATTATAAAAAAAATATGGGGGAAAATAACCTAATCCGAGAAAGCCTGCTTCCAATATCATCATCAAGAAACAAACTTATCATAAGACGTACGTAAAGAACAACAGCAAAAATCCTTTTATGGATAAGTATTTCTTCTACATACTTCTTTCCAAGTATCTGTGGTGTAACGGCTAACGCAGCCGCCTCCAAAGCGGGAATACCGGGTTCGACTCCCGGCGGAGATAGTTTTCACGTCTGTTTTACCATTCTTATTGTTAGCATTCGTTCATTGTTGTTACTTCTTACTTCATGTTTAGAATATGTCATTATTGCAGTTACCTTTACCATTATCAATATCGTTATCTTTATAATTTTTTTACCATTATGATCATTATTAATGCCATTGATGCTGCTGTGATTGATGTTGCTTAGAAATAACGGCATTTTCTTGATTTTTACACGAGAATAATTCTCAGTGACTCGATAATTACAATGATTACGAATTTTAATGTGTACAGGTATGTGCGTTTCTTTCGCAAATGGTTTTAGTCTTGCTCATGATGAATATAATTGTTATATATATATGAACTTCATACATATATAGGCTGTAATGTATTTTAGCATCAATAAGAACATTTATAATGATAGGCCTACTCAGTGTTAAAGATCTTGTGTAGTTAATTGACAAGCGACAATCGTTCGTTTTCTAATTCTAATTCCCTTGCAGTTGCTGTAACATTTTTTGTTTT